ATCAGATGAGAGAGAATATTCACATTTTTTAAATGTGTTGTCAATTAAAAATATATTCACATTATATAATAATATAAAATAATAACATTAAGATATTATTTAATTTGTATATGAAATTTCCTGTGCTTTGGTCCTTTTCCTTCTCTCTCCTCTCCCAACATTAAATATCAATATTTAATATAAGGGCAATAGAGTCTAAGAAAATAATAGGAAAATGCTAGAGGCCCCAAATTTTTTACCAAATAAATGACCAAATGTCTCACATGGGTGTGGGGTCCACAAAATTGCGGACCCCACACCCATGTGAGACATTTTGTCATTTATTTGGTAGAAAATTTGGTGTTCCTAGCATTACTCAAAATAATATAAATTAAGAAAAAAGACTATATGGAATAAAAGTATAAATACATGGGACTAAGTGGATCAAAAAATTTCTTTATGGACTTCTTGGTTAGAACACTTCTAAATAAAATTTATCAATAAAAAGTCCTATAATGTATTTTACAGTAAATAGATTTTACCTATGTGTGGTATAACTTAATAACATTTTATTTTTTTGTCTTTTATAAGTAGAAACATTCCTTACATATGATTTTAGATTAAAATAGAATCATTCAAACCATTAATTATAGATGTGAAATTACTATAATACTCTAAAACCTTATATTTTTTGCCATTTTCTTTCTCTTTTATCTCTCATACATATAATTTATAATGTTTAGTATTAATTTAATTAATAAATCACAATTAATTATAAATTCTTATTTATTTATTTTAATTCTTAAAATTTTATTCTAATTTGAATTGTATTATATTTTATATCACAATTAATCCTAAATTCTTAATTATTTATTATAATTTCTAACATATAAATTTAATTTTAATTTAATTACATTTTAGATCAATTCTTAATTATTATTTATTTTATATTTTATTTAATTATATTTTAAATCAAATTTTAATTATATTTTATATTTTATATTAATGATATTTTAATTTAATTTAATTTAATTAATATATTAATTTAATTTTAGATTTGGAGAAAATGGTAGTAAAATTTTCCTTTTATTGTATTAATTTCATTCTAATTTTTCAGAAAACAAAATCCGCTCTAAAAAATGATATGTGTAATACACCTTCCGTTAATTTGAATGAAAAATCTAACAATAGCACTTTAGTCCAAAATCACATGGGTACTTTACAACTATAATTGAACGATAAGGGGGTAAAGTGCTCTAGCCCCAAATCATAAGGTGGTAAATTGAATTTAACCCTATATTAATGATTGAATTAGCTCATTATTTATATTCTTGTGTATAAAAGAATATTTAAAATTTTTTGATTGAGTTAACATGTGCTCTTAAAACGCATGTTAAGAAACTAAAAAAAAAAAAAATTATACTCTTACATTGTATATAAAAGTATGTGTAACAAAGGATATATAATTTTTTTAAGAAAAATATCAATTAAGTGTATGTACTAATAAAAAATGTTTTTTTTTTTTTTTTAAATGCAACTTAGTGGTAAATTTTATAAATTGTAATAATTAAGTTTTAAATTTTTTTCATAAATTTATAATTATTTTGTGAGATTGTCAATACCTCATTTTAAGTCTCATTAACATGTATATGTGTCTTAAAAGTGCACATTAACAAAGCTATCATTTGTAAAGTATTGTATATAAATTTAAAAAACAATTTTTTTGGCACATCAGAAATAAAAGTTGAAGGGCAAGAGACACACAGGCTAGATCCTCCGGTATTAATTTCATCCCCACCATGTTAGCTAGCAACTAGTTGGCTTTTGATTACATCTAGTGGATCTTCTACCACCACCAGTTGATCTGTTTGGTCTACCCTCGTGTTGGCAAGCTTATCTGCACATTAGTTGCATTTGCGCATGATATGACGAATAGAGCAGTTGCATCTGCGAATTAGGTAACTTGTGTCACGACCCGCTCTCCGTATTCAAGAATGAAGTATCATGATGGTTAATAACTGTGGTTATTTCCAGTTAATTTTTAAACAAATTAATAAATACAAACGGAAGAAATATTTAAATGAGGGTACCAAAATAATCATTGGAGCTTCTATTTTTATTACAAAAATAAATTGATCAAAAAGGTCAATATTTATATAGAAAATGTTATAAAAGTATAGTGTGTGTCTATTCCGTAGCCCAACTTTCCAAAAAGTTATTTCTGAGGTGCATTGGTTCCTGAAAATTGGTAAACAATTATAAGTACATTGCAGAGTGAGAAATATTATACCAAGAGTATAAGGGACACGAAATAATCATGGATAGTTAGGTAGGCCAAAATATTTACATAACTCAGTTTCGTAAATAAATCATTGGTAAACAAATCATTTAAGTGACAGAAACTGAAATACATAAATTATGTAAATATATAGCCATAACCACGGTACTGAACTGAACTGAACAGAACAAAAGTCACTGAAGTGACAGTCAGAACAGAGGTACGGATTCAAAAGGTGGCTCGTACGGATTCTAAAGGTGGCTCCTACAATAGTGTAGCACTTAGCTCTGCACAATATTTTGCTCCGTACAGAAGAGAGGTACTGATTCAAGAGGTGGCTCGTACGGATTCTAGAGGTGGCTCCCACAATAGTGCAGCACTTAGCTCCGCACAGAACAAGGTCAATGGATCCATGTCAAACAGAGATCCACAAAGTGGTCAAACAGAGGTCAGTGGTTATTTAAGTCCCCCAAGACGTGGGACTCCCGTGATAGTACTTATAAAATATAATTGTATATAAGGTCATAGTCAAATATTCTTTAAAATATAAACAAGCATATTCATGAATTTTCTTTTAACAAATAGGGTTCAGAAAATAATCCACGTAATTGAAATAATAATATAGTTTATAATAATTTATAAAGCATAACTTGTATAACAGAATGGTAAGTCAAAACATAAGTAAAATACATTTCGATGACTCAATATATAATATAACACACCTTAACTTTAATACTTTACTTTTTCTTTTCATTACCAAAAATCCTTTCAACTTTCATTATTTTTTCTCCGTTTCTTTTCTTTCTTTCTCACTTCCTTTCTTTTCTTTCTTTCGTTTTTCTTTCTCCAGATCATCTCCTCCCTATAGGGAGGGAAAAGATGGTGGCCAGGCCGAATCCTTCACCAGATTCCATTAGATATAGATTGATCCTAATCTTAAATAAATAATTAAAATAATTACATTTTAACCTAATATTTTAATATAATTATATAAATAAATTAAATCTTAATTAAATTATTTTTTATCGTATATCAACAGAAAATAAATTATTTATTTTATTACCACACCAATTATTATTATTATAATTATTACTATTATCTATATTATTATTATTATTTATATTTTGACTCCTAAACTTTTAATAATTATATTGTTTTATAAAATTACACATAATAATATATAATAAATTACATATTTTTCGAACTGAGATTAAATAATATTGATATAAATTTTACACAATAATTCAAAATCTGAGTTGATACGCATTGAGTCATCCACAATACTTCTGAAGGGGTAGTTTTGAGGAGGGCCTTCTCTGAGCAGTTCCTCAGCAGTGGTTAAATATGTCTCAATAATGATGATTTTATTCAATCTTTTCTCTAGCACAATCGTGAGACCTCTGTGAATTTCACACATTTCAGATTCCAAGCTATAGCATGAGTGAAGCTTTTCAAAAAAAATCCACAAAGCTAAGGCCCTCTCTCATCTCTGAAAACACCTCCAAATTCACCTTTACGTAGATCACCTTAAACACACCCGTCCATCTTGAGCTTTATTTTACCTGCGCGGCGACCATTTAACCATAGTAGGTGTGTGCTTAACTAAGGTAACAAATGCATTTGTTAGGCATTTTTAGGGGGATTAGGTTTTTTCTTTTTTGGATTTTTTAGGTACAACTTATTTTGTCTTTTGTAAAGTGCTAAACTAAAATAGATTGTTCAATGTTATATATAAGATCACATTTAAAATTTATTATTTTTAAATTATAACTTCTAACTTTTATATTGTATTAGCTGCTAATGGCAATAGTGGTGGAAGTAAAGATAGTGGCAGTGGTGATGGTAGTGGTAATGCAGTGGAGGTAAAAAAGAGTGGTGACGATGGTGTAATTATGGTGGTGGTTGTGATAATGGTGGTACAAAATAAACGGTTCAAATCATCAAAACGAGACTTGAAGTAGATTCCACGATCCTCTCAAATTCTCTCATGTTAAGATGTGAACACGAGATAAATCAAATCTAAATATAAACAGAACTTAAGATTCTTTTGAGAAAATAATTTATCTACTGAATTTGACTTTGTCCGAATCACTTGAATTTATGCATGCTAGTCAGTCGTTCGATCAGTCATTCGGTGCCGACAATAAGGGTAACAACTGCGGTTATAAAGGTTGCACTAGTCGTCTAAGTGATCATTTAGACGGATGACTGGCATGCACAAAATCAGACAATTTGGGTAAGCCAAAATTTAGTAGAGATAGAGTGTTGGGCTAAAATAGTCCACTGAAACACAAAATAGACTAAAATAGTCAATAAGATAAATGTTTGTTTTGAAAAGTATGTTTAAAACTAATTTTTTGACTTTTTTTTTTTAAAAAAAAAGTACAAAAAAAAATAAAGAGATGGCATGACAAAAAAAAAAATTAAAAGTTAAAAAATTATTTTTTAATCTCTTTTATTAAAAAGAGATCAAAATATTATATTAAATCTATAATCATTTTATTTTTTGGGTCGCGATCAACAAATTAACTAAAAAAAAAACCAAATCAATTCCTCAAACACAACTTTTTTATAATCAAATTAAAAGAATAAAAAAGTCAAATAACCGGCCAATTTCGCAGAACTTTTTTATAATCAAATTAAAAGAATAAAAAAGTCAAATAACCGGCCAATTTCGCAGGTCACGTTGTACTTACATGCTATTGTCTTCCCTGACCAAGTACATCTTCATCTGAACTCCATCGATCTATTCCCAAACACTATCCCCCCCTCTCCCTATCTCTGCAAATCTGCCAATCTCAAGATGCTGAGAAATTCAGTGAGTTTCTCTTCAAAAGTCCTCACCTCCTCAACCCCTAACTCCAAATCAACCTTTCTCTTCTCAGGCATTTCCACCACCTACTATGGCATCGAGAGATCACTCTCACTCTCAATTCTATTCAACTACCGCCACCTCACCTTCTTCCTCTCCTGATTCTCTCAAACTAGGGTTTCCCAAACTCGATCCTGTTCGATCCTCCGGCTTCGCCTCTTCCGCCGCCGCAATCGATGCGTCTCCGTTGGCTGCTGAGTCGGTGACGAGGGCTAGGGATGTGGTGGACTTGGCTCGCCATTACGGACGGTGTTATTGGGAGCTCTCCAAGGCTCGCCTCAGGTTAGGATTATTGGATGATTTCATTCTGTGTTTGAATTTTGATTTTGATTTTTCTCAACTGAAATGTAGAATATTGACTAAGGGGGCGTGTTTGATTAGCAGGATTAATAGTGAGGGGATTAACAATCCATGAGATTAGTGTAGGCTTGTTATCCAGATGGATGGATTAGTGAGATACATAATTCCCTGAAATAGAAATATATAGTCCCAATTATATGTCTGTTTTGCGGTATTAGTTGTATGATTAAAAAATTCGTCATTTTTGTTGGATAGGATGATCATTGGAATCTAATCCGGGTAAATAAAATTTGCAACCAAACAATGGAATTGTATACTGTAGTTTGCCCAATCAAACAAGCCCTAAGTAGTTAGGCTGTGAGGTAGAACTGTAGAAAAACAAGATAATCTTTTTAGTATATAATGACAATTCTAATTGAAAGGCTTAATTAGGATTCCGTTATTATTATTTTGTTTTTTGGGGTGTAAAGATTTGGATGCACCTTGGAATCAAACTGTATTAAGAAAAATGGCACCCCGGAATTTTGATTCCAGGGCGACTCTGTGCGACAGGAATTCTTATTTTGAACAATATGTGATGACCTTTGTTTATGAACAAGTGCTCAAAGGATGCCTTGCCCAACAAAAATAAATAAATAAATTAATAATAAAATAGATAAGTCTCACTAAATGGTATAGCAGACCCAGATATCAATGATTATAGGACGAAGGCCCCGTTTGGGGACTTACCTTTTTAGCCAAAAAGCTAAAAAGTTACCTTTTTAGCCAAAAAGGCAACAACTCATACCAAAAAGTCAAAGATTTTCTTTTCTCTCTCCTTTTTGCACATCTTTTCGTAATTAGCCAAAAAGTCATCCCAAACATACAAGGTTTTTTTTACCTACTTTTTTAGCCAAATAGCCAAAAAGTTACTAAATTAGCCTGTTCCCAAACGAGGCCTAACTATTGTACATATAATAGGATCTGATAAGGCTAGACCTACTAAGCAACATAAGTGAAATGCATTTTCAATGACTAATTGATATAGTATTTCTCATTCAATTGCATTGGTACCAAAAAAAAAAATCCTCTTCTTGTGGCCCTGCTGTAAACTCTTATTGTCTCTTTAGGCTAAGTTTGGGAAGACTAAATAAGTGTACTTTTTGTCTTTTTAGACTAAAAAGTTGAGGTTGAAAATATGAATGTTTGGGCTAACTTTTTGACTTTTTATGGAAAAATGTGTAATAAAAAATTATAAAAATTGATTTGTAGGAGAAAATTAGAATTGGGAGTTGTGCAGCCGTAATTGTTGATTTTTGGTGAATAGTGATAACTTTTTAACTTTTTGAGTAACTTTTTGGCTTTTTGACTTTTTGGGGTGTTCCCAAACTTGGCCTTAATATCTTTAAGTTGGCTGGCAGCTTCTATGAATAAACAAGCTAGAGTACCTTGGGAGTGAGGGGGAGATTTTTGGAGTTATGATAATTGCCAGTTGTGGTTATATAACCTATGTGGAAATTTGAAGTAATTAATTGATTGAGTAAATGAATTCAGAGTGCATCTGGACTTCTAATCACGGATTGTGCGTAGATCTTCACTTCTAGATGCTTAATGACTGATGAGGTGCTCCTGATCTAAGCACATTCAAAGTACTGGAATTACGCACATGCTTTGGGGGTGATTGGGGATGTTCTGTGTTATTGCAATGCATGCTGCAAGTTTTGCCGGCTTTTTGGGCTTCAGGGCTAAGCCTAGTTTAGTCTCCAATTCCTACTGAATGGGTTTTGGGAGGGGTATTGGATATAGACTTAAAACACTGAGTGAGCTGAGTTTTAAACACTGAACTAGTGCCCCCCTGTTAATTTGAGGGGTATGACTATTAATTGAATCTATGGACAAATGATTTCAAAGGGCATGCAAAAAAACTTGCGTTTCTTTTTCTCTTCATTTTATTTAACCGAGAATACAAATGATGATGCTTTGATTTGATGTTTGATAAGAATTAGAACATTTAGCAGTTGTCAGCCTTTTGCGTTGCCAGTTTTAAATTTTTGTTGATTTGCTCTCTGCATTAGTTGGATTGACCTACGTACCTCTGCTGTCAGGACTAGTTATTTCTGTATATACATTTCTTAAAACCTATCAATTTCGCTGTTTGTTATATATCCTTTTAGAACTTTGGGCTGCTGGAATTTAGGGAATCATTTGTGGAACTTCTGCATCTGATATTTTTTCCAGATTCTCTTCAGCATGCTAGTTGTTGCTACTTCTGGGGCTGGATACGTTCTTGGGAGTGGCAATGCCATTGATTATGTGGGGCTCTGTTGCGCCTGTCCTGGTACCATGCTGGTTGCAGCATCTGCTAACTCCTTAAAAATCAGGTTTTTAAATGATCTACTTGGGAATTTTGGATAAAGATTTTCCCCCCGAAATCCCTCCCCCCCGAACAACCCGAAAGAGAGAGAGAGAAAGAGAAGAGGGAATGGAGAGGAGAGAGAGGGCCCCTCCTTCGCCTCTGCCGCCGCCGATCGATGGCAGATCGACCGGCCGATCGTCGCCGCCGCAGCTCGTCGCAACCCCGCCTCCACCTCCAGCCTGATTTTGTTGGCCCCCTCCCCTCCAGTTCTTCTTCTTCTTCTCCTCCTCCTTCTTCCTCTGATTTTCTTCTTCTGGAAAAAAAAATAAAAATAAAAATAAAAAATTCAAAAACGATGTCGTTTTTTGAATTCGAGGGATTCGGGGGGCTCAAATTCGAGCTACCAATCACTACTCGGGAATTTTTTGTTTAATTTGTTTAACAATTGAAAGTTGGAAAATTTACCTATAAATTCCATCTTGAGAAATTGTGATCCATTTAGTCTTAAGGATTTTCTTATAGACTAATTAGTCCCATTGATTTTGAAAATGTAGATTTATATATTATTTAAAAATTAGATTTACTATTATACCTTTATTTCTATTATGTTCCTTCTCTTTTTTCTTTTGTGTTAGAAAGGTAAGATACACAATGTACGGGAATCAAATTTGGGATGAATTTTTATATGAAATTTTTTTTATCTTTAAAATATTTCAAAAGGAATACAAAAATGACTCAAAATATGAGATTCTTCAAAAGTTCCAAAATGATGTGGAATTTTTCAAACATTTCAAAAGGAGTACAAAAATTACTTGGTAAGGTTTGGCCAAATGTATAATTTCAAACTGTAATACTCCAATCTAACACTTCAATGTAACACTAAAAGTAAAAAAAAAAAACGTAACACTTTAATATAACATACAAAAAAATTCCTTAATGCAGCACTCTAATGTAACACACACAAAAATTCCTTAGTGTAACACTCTAATGTAACATATAAAAAAACTTCTTAATGTACTTTTTTCAAATGTAACACTCAAAAAAAATCATTAGTGTAACATTCTAATGTAATACATAAAAAAAAATTCCTCAATGTACTTTTCTCAAACGTAACACTTTAATATAATACTATAAAAAAACTCCTTAGTGTAACACTCTAATATAACACACAAAAATTTCTTAGTGTAACACTCTAATGTAACACAAAAAAAAACTCCTTAGTATACTTTTTTCAAACATAACACTTCAATATAATACTCTAAAAACTCCTTAGTGTAACACTTTAATGTAACACACTTTAATGTTATGTTTGGAGTGAAACTAAAGTGACTAAAAAAAGAAATGAGAGAGTATAGGGAGTTATTCTCAAAATTGAGGATTAAACAGAAGTTAATCATTATTCAGGCTAACGAGAGATCTAGAGGGAGTCTAGTGGAGATTATAGAGAGGAATCGACCACAAAGCTTCTCTCTGAAGATAGATTTGGGAGGTGTAAGTTGGGCTGTGCAAGCTCTACAGCAAGTTGGGAAACTTTACAAAGGAGGTTCTTTCTTTAGCAAATACCATCATAGCAGCTCTGCTATGTTTTGTTTACAGATGTATACCAATGGTAAGGGTGCTTTCGTTGATATGTCGAAATGGGAGGGAGGCGTCAAGAAGTGCAATATTATCATTCCAACGGGGAATAATGGTAGTGGGTGGATGGATGGATACAGTTACCATGCTTCGTAAAATCATTTGCAATGAACCCAAGAGGAAAACTATAGGTATATGTGACAAGATTAGAGTTACAGAAGGAGTTCAGAGGAAGGGGACAAAGGAAAAGACTTGGGAAAGGAATACAGGGGTGAACAAAGGGAGAAAGTTTGTTGATTTGTTCACTGAGAATCGAATGGGTAATTTGGGGGTTGATATGGAGAGGGCGGTAGTCTGTGTAAGATGTGATTTCTCAAGCAACTGGGCACAAATTGAAAAGGAGTTGAGCAAATATTTAACGAAGTCTATTGCACTTCGGCCATTTCAAGTCAATAGAGCTCTGTTCTGGGTAAGTAATAGAGATGAAACAAATTTTATTGGAAACAAGGGATTGAGTTTTTTCAACAAAGGTGTGGCGATCAGTTTGGAGAAGTGGTCAGAGGTGAGGCATATTAAATTAGAGGTGATTGTCTCTTATGGAGGGTGGATAGCTGTGTGTGACTTGCCATTTACCCTTTGGAATGAAAAGGTATTCCAGTGCATTGGTCAAAGATGTGGTGGTTTGTTGGAAGTGGATAGAAGAACGATCTCATTGGAAAATCTATTTGAAGTAAGATTGAAAATTAGAGGTTTTGATTGTGGTTTTTTGCCAGCTTGTATGGAGATCAAGGAGGGAGATCGATCTTCTATGGTGCGTCTCAAATCTCTGTCCAAGTCAGTGCGACGGAAGGGGGAAGTTTGGCTAACGATCTTCCAGCATTAGTCTTCTGGCGAATCTTTCACCGGCGACGAGGAAGACGAAGGGGAAGGACAGCCAGGGGGACACATGGCGGCTTCGAAGGAGAAAATCAAAGGGGCGCAGGAGTCGAAGGGGCTGGAGTTAGTTCCCATGCGATGGCTGAAATGGAGGGTAGATCAAGGGATAAGGGGCTTTGGGAGGCTCCAACTAGGCCAGTGGGGCGTAGTGGGCCAACCTTTATTTTGGGCCCAAGTGATCTTTATGAGAAGGACCAGAGTGTTATGAATCATCTGCCCAAGTAGGATTCTCCAAGAGCTGGGCCATTTTGTAAGAAGCAAATGGGCTGTAATGTTGGGCCTCAAAGTGTGGATGTGGTCTATTCAACTGATTTGGGTCCAGTTGGTCAATTAAAAGGGGTTTACGGGTCGAAAGAGAGGATCAGTGATGCAGTTCAACCCGATTTGCTTGTAGAGGAGAAACGATCAGTGGGGGAGGACGAGGCTTAGCATCAGCAGTCGTCTGGGATGCGAGAGGCTGAGGATATGAATCGCGAGATGAATTCTTCAAGGACTAATTAGTTTCGACTAACGAGGAACGAGATTCAGCTTGGATTAGCCGATGTCGTGAATGGATCTGTCGAGGACCCACAGAAAACAGAGAGGAATATGGAGGAGTGGGTCGATGAGAGGATAGAGGAGGTGAATGATACTGATTTGTTGAGTCGCAAGGTTGATGGATGTTTCGAGCCTAACAAGTGTTACAAGCTTTGGAAATGTATGGGTCTGAGACGAGCTCTGAGCTTGTCTCTGGTTCAGAAGGCGATGGAGGTGATAAAGAAGAGTATGATTTTCAGTTGTGTAATCTCTTTAATGAACAAGGCATTGTTGAGAATGAGGAGGCCGAGGATGTCTCTAAAGCAATGGATCATGTCAGTGACCTATGTTACACGGACTCGTTCATTTTGGGGAGGTACCCGTGTCGACATGACACGACAGGGGTACGGGTACGGGATACATACGGGATATGGCCAAACGAAAACGGATACGGCTAATTGTTTTCTATAATATTTTTGTTACAAATTTTTTTTTTTGTTCTTCGTTTGAATAGGAAGAGGGTAAGATCAGAAGAAACAAACCAACAAAATACAAAACTTCACAACATGATTTCAATGGAAAGGAAAAGAAACCTGAAATGTTGAAGCAATGTTGAAGGCAGAGCTCACCAGAAAGCAGAAGAGTTGAAGTCGCCAGTGGCTTAGTTCAACCTTTTCTATTTTGTCGATGCATTCCCATGATTTTTGCTGGGTCTTCTGTCATTCCGATGCATCTTCTGGTGCATATGTTCAGAAGCTTGATGAACTTCTCTTTCGATGAATTTGTGGTGTTCCTCCCTCTGTTTTTTCTTTTTTTTCATTTTTTTGAACTGGTTCGTCTTCCTCTGGTCTGATTCATCATACTTTGTTGTTTTGAATGGAAAATGGATGAAAACGTGTATTGGAACTTGTAGATAGAGAGAGACAGCTGGCAGGCAGGCACCACTTTATTCCTATAATGTTATATATTAATATTTGAATAATGTTATATACATGTTATATGTTAATATTAAGATATACGTGTATTAACAAATTAATGTTCGGGAGTTTAGTCCCGAAAAAATGACGAACATATTTTATTATTTTTGCCATTTTTTTTAGAAACTTACGCTTACAAAGCCAATCTCCTCTAAGCTAAGAACACCATCAAAGCTATAAACTTCCTTTGAACTTTTGTTGTGCACTCCTCTCATCTCATGGAGATGTGGTTGCTGAAAAAAGTTCCACTTATTATGATTGCCGGAGAAGTGTGAGTAATCAAATGGTTCCTACTGTTATCACCGAAATATTGCCGCCAAAGGGTTTTCAAGGTTTTGAGAGTGGGTAAGTTTTGAAGGTGAGATTTGGGGAAGATGGATAGGTGATGATGGGGGTGAGTGCTCTCATAAACCCTAATTCATGAAGCAGTGGTGTGTTGGTTTAATTATGAGATATGGTATCCCAAATTTAATGATATCCCTTTTAGTAATTTTATTTGAGATTATTATTGTAATAAAAAAAATTGAGGGGTCCAAAATAATTCACGAGGTGCTAATAGCAGCACTCTTAAGTTGGGTGTGTCTAAAAATTTTTAAAAAAATTACTTAAAATATTAAAAAAAATTAGTAAAAACAAAAAAAAAAAACGAAAAACAATAAAGAAGAATTTTCCAAAAAGTAAATTCTAAAAATTAAAATCAAACAGAGTGATTTACCTTGTTTAGTTCTAATTTTTTGAATTTAATTTTTTAAAATTTGAATTTTTATTTTTAGTGAATCTTTTAATATTTTAAACATATTTTTTACTCTTTAGATGTACCTTAATTTTTTAGAAATTAAATTCAGAAAAATGGAACCATATGAAACCAAACAAGATTATTTTTTTATAATGTTACATGTTTTATATTTAAATATTTTTAACCATAATATATGTAACATCACTATAAAAATACGTAATATTGCAATAAAAATATATTTAATATATTTTATAAAAAAAATGATTCATCCATTAATTTTTTTTCCCTCCAAATCTCCTTAAATGATGTGCAAAGTGTATGATCCAATAGCAATTGATACATTTGAAGAGATATATTATCTTTATATTTTTTGAGTCATAATTATAAATTAAAAAAAAATCATAACTAAATACCATATGAAATCTAACCAATTATCTTATGAGTCATAATTATAATATTATCATAATTTTTAAAAAAAAAATTAATCATACCTAAAACACAAAATAACATAACTAAGATGAGGTGATCTAAATCTTCATTAAAAAAATTTCAATTTTTATTTACTTAATGAGATGATCTAAATTTTTAAATAATAAACAAAACAATAAATCAATCAACATAAATTCTTTCATCAAATTTTATGAAAGAAATCATCTAATATCATTCATCTTTTTAAAATTTCATCAAATTTAAATTTTGAACATTTTTTGCATCAAATTTAAATTTAATAAAAAAAAATATGAAGGATTAGAGATACTCTTACGAGATAAACATTTAGGAGTGTTTATGTCTCATTCAAATCGCCGACATGAATTTGAATTAGCCCAAAAATTGGACCTTACAATACCATGCAAAACTGTCACGACCCAAACCCGCCCCTATGGATTTAGCACCGTAACCGGCCAGTAATCCGTGATTACCGAATGCCTGCTTGACAGTAAAGACAGTAATACAGAGTATAGGGGCTAGCGGAAGCCAAAACAGTAATAAAAGATGCCCAATGAGCAGTGACAGTTTGTATGCAAAAAGATTTTCCTGAACATATTCACATTCAAAATCAAAACAGTATATACATACGTCATATACAGACATTCAGGTTAGGGACCAAATCCCTAACGTAACAATACAGTGCAGGTCTCAACATTTATTACAGAACAGAGGAAAAAGGAGAAATCTAAAGCACCCCAAACCAGCCTTGGCTTGAAACGACTTGGAATCTCGCAGTGAGGCACAACGGTTTGCTTGACAAAACGAGAGCTAACCCGACGCTCCTAGCTTCGGTTCGGTGCTTGGACACCTACATATATATATAAACAGTGAGCTAAAACTCAGTGAATAACAGCTGTGTAAAGAGGTTAAGAATGAATGTCCTTTCAGTAATTAAACAGTCCTATCAGTCATTTAGAAACCATGGTAGTCATATGTGGTACATCCCATAGCAAAACAGTACAGTAGGTCTTAACAGACCGAACAGTCAGTTGATGGCCATCATAACAGTAATAGTAGTGGTTCCAAACTTGGGAACCGACAGAGATCTCTGTGACAGTAGCAGTAATAGTACAGTAGCAGTAATAGTACAGTAACAGTAAGTTGCTAAGGATGCCACGAATACAGTTTACAAATAGGACGAACATTCGTTCATTAAACAATAATGTTCCAGTAAACAGAACAGTTGATCATTCAGAAAATATTCATAATTGAACATATCTTACAACATTGTTACTCACAGAGCACTGGGCTATACGCGGCTAATGAACGTCCTCAGATGCCAACCCTACACAGTTACAGAACGAACACACACTAAGTCACACACTTGGGAATCAACAACTTAATCCCTATCTTGACTCGGTGTGGTTTTACATTAATATTCTCATTAAGATGCCTTAACCATGCCTAGGAATGCCTAGGATGGAAAGAGGATACAAAGATGCACTTTAAAACACTTTTTCAAAATTTTCAAAAAACAAGGGTCTCGCTTGAGCGTGGCTTTTTACGCTCGAGTGGACATGCAGACAAAGGAATTCCGCTCAAGCGTGACTTCCTTCGCTCGAGCGAATTGTAAATTCCATGAAAAGTACTGGATGCATGCAATTCACGCTCGACCTCCGCTTGAGCGTGAGACTCAGGTCCTCGCTCGAGCGTGAACTCTCTCGCTCGAGCGGACTGTAAAACACAAGAACTTCTGGGTACATGCATTTCACGCTCAAGCGCAACTTTCCACGCTTGAGCGGAAGTGCACGACTCAGAGGGTACGCTCGAGCGTGAAGTTCTACGCTCGAGCGTGTGTTCAAAATCTAGAATTTCCAGATTCATCCCCAAGCACAAAACTTAAGCATTTAAGCCTCAAACTCAATCCTTTTGGGCTAATTTTTGGAAAACACTTGAAAACCCATAATACAACACGTTTCAAAGATCAATTTTGTAAAATCAAGCCCAAAGGTAAACCAATTGAACACCAAATTCAAAGAAGTTTTCATGAATTATGTAAAAACATAACATGCATGAACTCTTATGAACTCTAGTGCTCTAAAACCTGATCAAATGCAAGATTAAGCTCAAGAACAAAGTGAATTCAAGGGCCTCAACTGAAATATACACATGCATGGAAGAAATTCATGCTAAACAACCTCAAAATGCAAGAATATATACATGCATGCATAAATTCACCCTCAACCTCAACTCCTCAAACCAATTCTTGACTTTAAACTCTAAATTACCATGGACCATGCAAGATACAACTCAAATTCACAAATGAGAGGGTGAAATCTCTACCTTAGGTCTTGAATTCAAGGTATAGAAGCTTAATTTTGCAAATGCTCTTCAATTCTACTAAAATTTCCAAGCAAAGCTCTTGATGAACTCTATTTTCTCCTACCTCTCTCTCTCCCATGGTTTGGCCTAAGAAAAGGATGAGATGGTGGTGCAACAATTGATATGAATCACACTCCAAACAAAGTTTCTAAAGTGGCCCACTAAGTGGCAATTTGATAAATAACTTGAACTAATGCGATTTAACATTATTTAATCTAATTTGATCGTTCCAAGTCACATTTCAATTAAACCTACCATAAAATCACATAAATTCTAATTAATACATAACACTAATCAATTTCTGATTCGGCCGCCGATAAGGCCTTTAATTTACAGTTCGAACTTAAAACATGAACAGATCAATCAATTGATAAACAGACAGAAATGCAACCAAACAGCATACTCATGCAATCAGTTTAGGATTTCCTCCTAATTAGTTACTTATCATATTCAGTCACTGTTTAGCTGTAATCAGAGGTGAGGGTTGTCACAAAAACTGAAAAAAGCTTGTCTAAAATATAAATACTAACACCGTCACCACTTGCTCTACTACCCTAACCAACAACACTACCTCCACCAGTCTACTATTGCTACTACCACTAGTTTCACTATACTATTAACACCACCATCACTAGCTTGGTCATCCTAAAATCATCACCAATTTCACTGTCCTACCCTACTAGCACCACCAGTTCCAAACCACCTCTCCCATTCTACCTTTACTACCACCACAGCCGCCTATACCACTACCACCACTAGATCCACCACCCCCCAAGTTCCATCACTATACTACCAACACTATTACTGCCATCTCCACCACCACCACCAATTCCAACCACCTCTCCCATTCTGCTTTTATTACCACCACAACCGCCTATACCACTACCACCACTAGATCCACCACCCTCTAACTTCCATCATTATACTACCAACACTATTACTGCCATCTCCACCACCACCACCAATTCCAACCACCTCTCCCATTCTACTTTTACTACCACCACAACCACTTATACCACTACCACCACTAGATCCACCACCCTCTTAACTTCCATCACTATACTACCAACACTATCACTACCATATTCACCACCACCACCACCACCAATTCCAACCACCTCTCCCATTCTACTTTTACTACCTCCACAGCTGCCTATACCACTACCACCACTAGATCCACCACCCCCTAACTTCCATCACTATACTACCAATACTATCACTACCATATCCACCACTCTATAACCTTCACGACCCCCACTACCCTATTACCAATGAATTGGATATATATATATATATATTTTTAAAGTAATGAACAAATGACTAATTCAATATTTTTATGTATAATATTGAGTGTATGCAAACTTAACCAATATTATCGACTCAATAAAACATTTCATGTAAACTTGAATATTTCCAAATTGATTACATCTTAAAATTCAATTTTTATTTATTTTCAATTCAAAAATCAAACCAAATTAGTTGTTTTAATATTATTGTAAAAAAATGTGAATTACATATATATTAAAATACAACAATCACATTGATACGTATATATTTTAATAGTCACATATCTTTTGTTTTAAATACATCTAATCCAAATAGACATAAATAGTGCATAATTTGTCTATCTAGATTAAATAAATTTTAAAAATAAAAAATTATTTAAAAAACAAAAAATACATTTTTAAAAAATTGTAACCAAACAAGATACTAACTTTATTGCCAACAAGGTACAAGGTATAAATTAGTTTAACTTTTTTGGTTGAACTGGAACAAGGTACAAGGTACAAGGTACACTTTTTTTTTTTAAATACATCAATTATAAAAATTTCATTTCTTTGTTGTCATCTACAGACAGTCACCAACAATAACATTGAAATGTATTAATTAGTATATCAATTAATTTATCAATTTATAATATTATTATTTTAAAATTATTATCACATTTATTATATAAATTATAAAGACTTAAAATTTTTAAAATTATGCCAACATCATCTATTAATACACTAATTAATATATCAATTAATACATATAATATTATTTAAATAAAATACAATCATTGTATCTACACCTTTTGTTCCATCAATTGCTTTCCTTCCTTGGGAAGCTTTACTTGCCAGCCACAAACTTCTAATCACTCTGATAAACAACTCCCAAGAGTACAAACAAATCAACCAACTCCCAAGAGTACAAACAACTACCAAGAATACAAACAAGTGTCACCTTTTCACCTTCCACTTGATATATGCTTTTTTTTGCATATAGCAGTTTAGCTCCCCAAAAAACAGAGGCTTCGGCTGTATGTATCTTTAGCCCCAAAAAAATCTGTCAAAACTTCCTTCCATTATTAATTTCATCTACAGGGGAAATGTCTTCCTCCCAATCTTCATCCAAGCAAAAGCAAACCTTGCGTCTAGCAGCATGTCAAGGAGCTGAGTTTGATGACAAGCCATTGTGGAATCATGTGAAGGTTCTCAATGTGGCTTCAGGTGGAGGTGGAAATAGAACCTGGTCCTGTAATTAATGCAGCAAAAAGGTAATTGGGTCATATACAAAGGTGAAAGCTCATCTGTTAAAGCTTTCAAATCATGGAGTTGAACCTTGCAAATCCATAAGAGATGATGTTGAAGCTATAAGGAAGGAGCATGATGGTGCTGAAGTGAGAAAAGCTCAACAAGCATTAAATGCAAGAAAAAAAGCAGAATATGTCACTTTACCAGAAGGCTCAAACTTGCTGCAACAGAAAAAACGCAAGGGAATGGCTCCACCAGGTGCTTTGCAAAAGTCATTTAATGTTTCTCAGAGAGATATTGCTGACAAAGATTGTGCTCGCATGTTCTATGCAAGTGGCTTACCTTTCAATCTGGCAAGGTCACCTTACTTTCGGAAGTATTCTCAGTCTTTAGCAAACAGCAGCTTGATGGGCTACACTCCTCCTTCATATGATAGGCTACGTACCACATTATTATCCCGAGAAAAAGCGCATGTTAATAGGCTACTGCAACCTATTAGAGATTCATGGAACAAGAAAGGGGTTTCATTGCTCTCTGATGGGTGGTCAGATAGGCAACGACGCCCTCTTATCAATGTCATGGCATCATCTGTAAGAGGAGCAATGTTTGTCAAAGTTATTGATTCAAGTGGAATTGTAAAAGATGGAGAATATGTTGCAAGTTTGTTCATTAAAGCCATCAAAGAGGTCGGAGAAGCAAATTTTGTTCAGATTGTAACTGATAATGCATCCAACTACAAAGCTGCTGGGTTGAGCATTGAAAACAAGTATCCACATATTTTCTGGACTCCATGTGTGGTGCATAGTTTGAATTTGGCATTGAAGAGCGTATGTACCCCACCAGATAAATCAGCTCAATATGATCAATGTAAATGGATTTCAGATTTAGTTTTTCAAGTGCAGAATATTCGCAATTTTATTCTCAACCATAACATGGCATTGTCTATTTTCAATGAATATTCTACTTTGAGATTGTTAAGTGTAGCAGAAACTAGGTTTGCATCCAACATCATCATGACTCTACGTTTGAGGGAAGTTAAGACATCCCTTGAGAAAATGGTGATGGATGCAAACTGGAAAATTTATAGGGAAGATGGCAATAGTGTGGCTGAGATTAAAGCTTGTGAGGTAAAACAATGCATTGTGGATGACTCATGGTGGGATAAGATAGATTACCTCATAAGCTTTACTAAACCTATCATTGACATGTTAAGGCAAGTAGACACAGACTCTCCTGTTTTACATCTGGTATATGACATTTGGGATACCATGATTAAAAGTGTGAAAAAAAATCATCTTTGACCATGAAGGGATAGACATAATTGTTGGTCAATCAACCTTCTTTAATGTCATTCACCAAATTTTGGAGAGTAGATGGAACAAAAGTAATACCTTTTTACATTGTATGGCCCATTCATTGGTTCCAAAATACTACTGTCGTGCTTGGCTCCAAGATGGTAGTAATGGAATTCCAAGAATATCACCAGATGAGGATCATGAAGTCTCCATGAATAGAAGCAAATGTTTGAAGAGGTTGTTTCCTAATCAACCTGATTTACGGAAAGTTTATGCTGAATATGGAGCATTTTCTAGTGGGTCAGATTATTTCAATTGGCCTCATGTCATTGATGCAAGAATGTTTGAGGAACCTCTTTCATGGTGGGCCAATCATGGTGCTTCCGCACCATTACTACAAGCATTGGCTTTTAAATTGCTTGTGCAGCCAGCATCTTCCTCTTGTTGCAAGAGAAATTGGAGTACATATTCTCTAATTCAAAGCGTTAAGAGAAACCGATTAGCAACAAGTAGAGCTGAAGACTTGGTGTTTGTGCATTGCAATCTTCACCTTTTGTCAAGGAAGAGCAAGGAGTATAAAGAAGGACCCACAAAATATTGGGGCATATGTAAGTTAACTCACTTTCAATTCAATAAATAGTAATGCAAGTGTTATTTATGACTAGCTAAAAATAATTTTTCTATGTTTTTTTTTCCCTTACAGGTGGAGATTTGTTTGATATAGAAGGGCATGACATAATGGAGCTAGCACAAATTTCCCTTGATGATCCAGAGATGCAGACCATGACTTTTGATGATGACAATGAAAGTCAGCAAGTTGTTGAAGATTAAACCAATTGAAGAAGAGTGACAGTCAGCTAGTGTTTTTTTTTTTTATTTTGATAAATAGTCAACTAGTTTCTTTGTAGTCATCTATTCTTGGTTTAGGAGTAGAAGACTTCAAAGAAATTGTGTTTTTTCATTTCAAGAACTATGCAAGACCTTTAAGGACATTATGTTTTTTGGATAATTTATTTTGGTATATGTTTTTTGGATAATTTATTTTTGTGGCATGTAATGAAGTTACATTTGCTAGATGTTTTATGAATTATCTATTTGGTTGGCACATGATTTTAGAGTTGATTTTATTTTACAATTTAAATGCATTTATACTAATTATTGTTTAGCCGTATCCACGTACCCGTATCTAATTTTTGGATACTTTTTAGACGTACCCGCATATCCCTCATTAGGGATTTGACGAGTCTGACTCTTAGATTCATACCCGCATCCAACACCCGTACCCGAGTCCGTGCAACGTAGTCAGTGACACTATTATCTAAGATCTCACAGCTCCAGCATCTGAGAGGGGTAACATTGCTAGTCAAATTTTTTCTTCTCTTGGGGATGGGGTAGGAGGATCTCAAGAGTCAGGGTCTTAATGGTTCTGTTAGGGGAATGGATGATCAAGGGCTCTTGCCGGATATTTCCAAAGCCATGATGTCTGGTTCTACTATTGATCCTATGTCCTATAATGCTAACATTCCTATAGGCCAAGTAAATGATGCTCATGTGGGAGATTCTATTAATCATATGTCCAGGACAAGCTGTGCTTTTAGTGGAGTGAGGGATAGTGGGGTTGAAACTGAGCATTGGTTGATGGAGTTAAGCAAGTATGCTTCGTGTCCTGTTGAGGAAAATGAAGTACCTCTTTTCAGGCATTTGCTTCAAGTTATGGGGCTTTCGTTAGTTAGGTTAAATGGGAAGGAGGGGGTTAGTGGAGAGGAACTTAGTGTCTCTAGGGGGAAGCGTGTTAGAAGGGGAGGGGCTTTAGTTAGAAGGAGGGCTAGGGAGTTAAAGAACTTGGTGAGCACAATTAATTATGATAGGAGACATGAGGAGGTTAGAGGTGGCAATGTTTCTCAATGAAGATTGTTAATTGGAATGTGAGGGGTTTGGACTCCCAGAAGAAGAGGGGGGTCATTAGGGATTTTTTGAAGAAGCATCAACCTGATATAGTAATTTTTCAAGAAACTAAAGTGGAAGCTTGTGATAGGAATTTCATTAAAAGTATTTGGACAGTTAGGCATAAAAAGTGGGCTTTTGTACCATCAGTGGGAAGGTCTGGAGGTCTTTTATGTATTTGGGATGAGAGGGTGGTTTTTGAGTGTGACTCATTAGTTGGAGATTTTTCATTATCTGTTAGGTTCAGGAATCTAGATAATAGTAAGTGGTGGTTGTCGGGTGTATATGGCCCAAATTGCCCCGCTAGGAGACAGTTTTTGTGGGAGGAGTTAGGCGGGTTATATGGATTATGCTATCCCAATTGGTGTTTAGGAGGGGATTTCAATGTGGTTAGGAAGATTTCAGAGAAGCTTACTGGGGATAGAATCAATAGGAGTATGAGAGATTTTGATGGGTTCATTAGAGGTTGTGAGTTGGTGGATCCTCCTTTATTTAATGCAAGATTCACATGGTCTAATCTTAGGGAAAACAGGGTATGTTCTAGATTGGATAGATTTTTATTTTCGTTGGGTTGGGAGGGGGTTTCCCCAATGTGAGGCATGAGGCGTTTCCAAGATTGGTGTCCGATCATTGTCCCATTATGATCGAGAGTTGTCCTTCTAGGTGGGGTCCGACCCCATTTAGGTTTGAGAATTTGTGGCTAGATCATCATTTATTTAAGGAGAACTTTGCGGGGTGGTGGAATAATGCTAGATGTCACGGGTGGGAGGGTTTTAAATTCATGAGAAAGTTGAAGGTCATTAAAGAGCAAGTGAAGCTTTGGAATAGAGAGGTGTTTGGAAATTTGGAATCATCTAAACTTCCAAGTTATGGGTAGAATGGAGGAGATATATTCTTTGGAAATACAGGGGAATGAGGTCGAGGATTTGAAGGGAGAGAGGAGGGAGCTAGGCGTGAAGTTGGAAGAGTTGACTCTTAGAGAGAAGATTTTTTGGGCACAAAAAGCAAAGGTGAGGTGGTTAAAGGAGGGGAATGTTAGTTCAAAATTCTTTCACAGGGTTATGGATGGAAAAAGGAAGAAAAAGTTCATTAAGAGGTTGGAAGTAAGGCCAGGGGTAGTGGTGGACTCAGAGGAGCAAATAATCCAAGGGATTTTGGATTTTTACTCAATTGTTTTCGAAGGATGAGATAGTCAGGCATGGGTTAGAAGGGATTGAGTAGAGGCTTATTGATCAGGAAAGTGCCATCTGGTTAGAGAGGCCTTTTGAGGAAATGGAGATTAAGGATCTAGGTCTCGACGGGTTTTCATTGGCAGTTTTTCAAGATTGTTGGGAGGTGGTAAAAGGGGATTCAATGAAGGTTTTCATGAAATTTTATGAGTTAGGGGTGGTTAATTTATGTGCTAATGCCACATTTATTTGTTTGATTCCCAAGAGGGATGGAGCCATCCGAATTGGTGATTTTAGACCAATTAGTTTGGTAACATCACTCTACAAGATTTTGGGGAAGGTTTTGTCAAAAAGATTGAGGGCTTCTTTAGGGAATACAATTTCTTCTACACGAGGGGCTTTTGTGCAAGGTAGACAGATTCTACATGTGGTGCTGGTGGCGAATGAGGTGGTTGAGGAGTGTAGAAAGTCTGATAAGAGAGGTCCTGTGTTTAAGGCAGATTTTTAGAAAGCGCATGATCATGTAGATTGACATTTTTTGGATTTTGTGATGGTTAGGAAAGGGTATGGTGAGAGATGGAGGTCCTGGATAAGGGGATGTTTAGCGTCTTACAATATGTCGGTGATGGTCAATGGTAAACCGGGGCAGACTTTTAACGCATCTCGAGGGTTGAGACAGGGAGGTCCTTTATCTCCTTTTCGCTTCATCATGGTAACAGACATGTTAGGAAGGATGGTGGATAGGGCTAAAGAGGTTGGTCTGTTTGAAGGCTTATAGGTTGGTAGAGATAAGATTAGTGTGACACATTTGCAGTTTGCGGATGACACTATTTTCTTCTGTGAAGGGGATGAGAGCCAAATGGTGAATCTCTTTTCGGTGGTTAGGCTTTTTGGGGTGCTCTCTGGTCTCAGGGTAAATTTAGAGAAGAGTAGGGTTGCGGGTATTAATGTTGATTTAGAGAGTGGCTGATTTACTTGGGTGTGGTATAGAGACATTTCCGACGGAGTATTTGGGGCTTCTGCTAGGAGGTAACCCAAGGGGTGAAGTGTTTTGAAATCCGGTTATGGAAAAGATAGGCAAAAGGTTATAAGGGTGGAGTAGGGCTTTACTATCTCATGGGGGTAGGTACACTCTAGTTAAGACAGTGCTAAGTGGAATTCCAATTTATTTCATGTATGTGTTTAAGGTTCCAGTCAAGGTAGCAAAATCTATTGAAAAGTTAATGAGGGATTTTCTATGGGAAGGGAAATATGAGGGTAGGAAGGATCATTTGGTGAATTGGGAAATAGTGTCCTTATCTAAGAAGAAGGGGGGTTTGGCCATTGGTAATATAGTGGCTAGAAACATGGCTCTACTGGGCAAGTGGTTATGGCGATTTCCCAATGAGTGGTTCATTATGGCATGCGGTTATTAAAAGTAAATATGGGATTCAGGTTAATGGTAGGGACTCTCAAGTGGTTTCGAGGGGTAGCGGTCGTGCTCATTGGAAGTCATTTCTCAGATTTATCTAGTTTGGTCCCGATTCATTTCTATGAGGGTGGGTAATGGGGAAATGGTCAAATTTTGGGAGGATGTTTGGCTGGGTTCAACGTTTTTCGTTGAGTCATATCCACTCCTGTATGGTGTTTCTCAATCTCATAATTGTTCTGTTGCGTCTGTGGCGGGTCCTTTGGTAGTTCCTTTATCTTGGAAATTTAATTTCCGTTGGAATCTTCATGACAGGGAAGTTCCGGAATTGATTTCTCTTTTGTCAAGGCTCGAAATGTTTCTTTGTCTCCAATGTTGAAGGATAGGTTGGTTTGGAATATTCATTCATCGGAATCTTTTACTTGTAAGTCTTTTTTTGATAAAATCATTGATAATTCTCATGTCCCTCAGTTTCTATTTCATGACAAGATTTGGAAGGCGTGTGCTCCTCTCAAGGTGAAAGTGTTCATGTGGATTTTGGTTCATAGGGGCACTCTGACCAATGATTCACTGTAAAAGAGGAGACCTTCGTGGTATCTTAATCCTCAATGGTGCATCATGTGTTATAGAAGTGGAGAATGTTTGGATCATCTCTTTTTGCATTGCTCAGTGGCTAGGAGGTTATGGCATAGGGTGTTTGGATTGGGTAGTGTGATGTGGGTGGCCCTAAAAGGATGTGCTCAAATGTTATTATTTGATTTTCAAGTTTTTGGAAGATCGAAGAGAACTAAAGTACTGTGGAGTGGTGTAGTCTTTGCAATTTTCTGGGTTGTTTGGTTGGAAAGAAATGCTTGGGTTTTTGAAGGAGTAGCCTGGGATATAGATTACTTATGGGATAGGGTGAGATACTTGGCGTCTTTTTGGGCTTCGGTGAGCTCAGTATTCTAGGGGATTTCGCTTTTTCTGCTTGCTTCGGATTGGGTGTCAGTTTGTTCTATGTAGAAGTTTTTGAGTTTGGTATTTTTGTATTTTCTTTTTTCTCTTTTTGGTTTTTCCGTATATGTTGTAAGAGGGCATCTTATCCTCTTTTTTCTTGGCCTTGAGCCTTAATAAATCTTTGTTTGTTGCTGAACAAAAAAAAAATGTTATGTTTGGAAAAAGCATAGTGAGAAGTTTGTTTTAGTGGTTTTGTGTGTTACATTGAAGTATGTTACATTGGAGTATTACGTTTGGGAGTACGTTGACTGGAGTTTTGTATTTGAAAAAAATACACTAAGGGCTTTTTTTGTTATTTTTTGTGGAGAAAAGTTAGAGATCATGAAAAAAAATTTATGAAAATGATCATGAAAGATTTATGATCATTGGATTACCTTGATTACTGTGTGGTGCTTTATTCTAAATGTAATCCAAGGATCACAAACCTTTCATGATTATTTTCATGAAAGGCTCTTCATGATATCTAGCATTGCTATTTTTTGTGTTACATTGGAGCGTTACGTTTGAGAAAAGTACACCAAAAAGTTTTTTGTTGAGTGTTACGTTCGTACGTTTAAAAA